CAAATGGAATCTCCCAATGAAGACTGCACTCCCATTTACAGGGCCACCCCACCAGACTTCAGCTATACAATGCCACAGCCATGCCTTACATCCATTAGGGAGGCACAAAGGAACGCAGAACCGATCCTGGCTTGGGTGGCACTAGTCTATTTAGAATATTGGTTTAAAATGAGGCATTAAATGACTAAATATTTTGTGATAAATAATTGAAATTGTATACAGCCATGCTGCAATTGCATAGTAACATAACACTGGCCCTTTGGCATGATTTATTCTTAATCCATCAGAAAAGGAAGTACATACCAATAGCTGCAAAGCAAGGTAAGAAGATCACTATTAACAGTGGTTTCTAAATTTGTGTCGCCTTCTAGTCAATGTGAGCCAGTGTTTTGAAGAGGTAGTTGTAACAATCATAGCTCTAGGGCTCCCCAATTCAGTTTGATTCACCAAGGGGGATGTTGAACAGTTGCATTTTACAAATGTAAAATGTAATTGTCCTTGTTTTGGCTATTAACAAATGCCCATAACAACCCTTACCTCTATTGTGTTTATTCTGTTATTACATGGAATCTTGCCACTCTACTCCTCACAAAGCCCCCATTGTGTAGAATCTAATCTTTCTAAACACATGGCAGACATGTAATTAATACAGAGAGGTGACGAATGGTGCAGCTACAACAAACATCCATTATGCAACTAAAGTACTAATGTTGTTATTATATTTTCCTATACAGTAGTCCTTATGCAAACCCATATACAAAAAAATCCATCTTTCAAAGTAAATATTGCAAATTTGAACTCAAATCACCCTATAAGAACCGACTGAAACAGGATTCTTTGCGATGCAACTTTGCACAATGCAGTGTCTTATGTATGCCTGCAATCTACAGCTATTTTCTGTCTGTTCTCTGATTCCCGCACTGAAAAAAGACTTGACAGCTGCTGTATTATTGTGGCTGCATAATGTATTTCTCTGATTGTTATAAAAGGACAACTGGCTTATGCCAAAGAAGCTGTTAATGTTATGAATAAATATGCATGCAAAATTTTAGGAACTAAGGGAATGTATTTGACATGGGGATTGTGCAAGGCATGCAAATACTTATTTTTCAGGTATGATGATCTCAGTGTTAATTAAAATAATCATTACATCTATAGGTGGCAAATAACTGTAAACTAGGATGCGTGTGTTAATGAACTCTGGCTCAGTTAGGCATTTCTAACCTCCGAGGGATTCATAACACACTCATTATTGCCCAATTAAACAATATTTTGTTGTGGATATGTGTTATATGCTCAAGTGTGCCATCACACTCAAACAGATCAAAAGGGCAGAGTAAAAACCGATAATGGAGAGGGGGACCAGAAGAGGCAGAAAGGAAACAGACTATAGACCACTGGGAGAAGAGGCAGAACAGGAGGTGATGAAGGACCATGAGGCAAGAAAGAGATGGAAGCATGGACGTGTTAGGGGAATACAGAAGTCAGAATGGGTGGCATAGAGGAGGCAAAAGTGTAAGCTGATCTTGGCAGGGGTTTGAGGTGGAGTGATAGCTTACCTTGAAAAATTTGAGGAGGCAGAGAACACAAAGTAGGAACTAGCCCCAGAAGAAAAGATGCAAAGCTAGAACTGATTATCAGCACAGTGAAAGAGAAGAGACAATGGGAAAAATATCATGAATTGAGGGAAAAGAGAGGACACGGAATTGGATTTGAGAACAGAAACAGGATATAGGAGGTTGAGCTTGATCTGATCATTGATAAGAGCATGAGTGAGGCTGAATTTCCTTGAGGAGCATATGAGAAGATAATTGTGTTTTACCCCAATCACATAGCTCTCTTATAAGTAAATGAAAATAAAAACGAGAACAATTGAAACAAAAATATACAATGTGTAACAAAAATGTCCTTAAATATTTAGATCCAAAGTCCATAACAGTCCAACAGTGTGATTATTAGTGTTTATCCATACCACATAAATTAAAATCCATAAATCATAAAATCCCAGTAGACACCAAAGTGGGTTCCACACGATCCACCTTCACTGTGCCTGTGATAAGGGAGCCTAGGAGAAAGTACATATAATAGAATCTAATTGTGAATAGGGGAGAGGGAAGCCAGGGCTGATTGTTCTTGAGGGGGTAAATGGAAAGCATAGTAGCAAGGAAAAATGCATTGCAGTGACTAGTCACATACTGGACGGTAAAAGAAGAGTAGGCAGAGAGGATAGGGGAAAGTGTCATGTATGAACTGTCATACCTCCTTTCTGAGGGAGGAATGACAGTTCATAGCCTTTTTCTTGATGTGTGTGTGTGAAGTGATAGTGCCACTAGGACACACTTCTGACAAGGGGTAGAACCTAGTACATGTAGTTGAGGTATCATACAAGCACTGGGGATCAGGGATCATGTATTCCTAAAAAACCAGATGATATTGCGAAGAGTGATGTGAACAGATGCGAGATGAGCAGGATCTAGAGTGGGCAGTGGGGGGGGGGATTTTTCAGAAAATTATTATTATAATCCAGGATTTATATAGCGCCGACAGTTTGTGCAGCGCTTTACAATATAAGGAAGACATTACAATCACAATACAATTCAAGACAAGATGGTAAGGAAGGCCCTTCTAGTGTGAATAGGGAAAAGAGGGCTGTCAAAGAACATGGTGCAAATGGGGGAAGGAAGTGATGGAAAGCTCAAATAGAGAGTTAACTGTAGACGGTGTAGGAAAAGCTGCAACAGAAGGTAGAGTAGAAAATGGTGAGTAGAGGGGACAAGAACAGTAATCATAAAAAGAATGTCTCTACCAGGACATGGGCACTACTGATTGAACATTTGTGCAGAGAACTTGTCAGCAGTGCAGTGGTCAGAAGGGGTTGGATCATTCATGGTACTAGAATCCTCCAGCAGCGAAAACACAAGTTGCAATCTCTATACTACACATGTGAAAGGACTGAGACTTGCATGTCCCGTGAGGAGCTGATTAATGCTGAAAATCACAGGGCTGATTGCGTAAATTATAGCTCTACTATATGCACTGAGACTGAGTATTTGAAGGAAACATGGCAGAATCAATGAAAACAGGACATTTTCTTGAATCCCTATTGATAATCTGTTTTAATAATCTGCCGGGTGTGAAGGATACTGCTTACTTTGTAACTAAAATCGGTATAATTTTCTAGCAAACTGAAAAACGCTGCCACACAGGAACCTAAAGCCATTCAAATAATTTATGTACAATAAGCAAGAAGATGGGCTGCTAAAACAGCTGTTTGTATGTTGGAATATTTGAAAATCAACACATTTCAGTCTATCAGGGTTATTCACAAAAGAAGAAGAGTTTGGAGACAGCAGGAGAAGTGAACAATCTAGGACAATATAGATGATATGGAAAAAGTCTCCAATTCAGATCATTTCCCAATTCAGCTATGTTGTCCTAGATTGTTCACTTCTCCTGTCTTCTCCAAATGCTTGACCCTCTTGTGAATAACCCTGTATATGTCTAAATATTTTTATGTTGTAGATACCGCTATTTTAATAAATGCAGACTGCCACAAGAGACTGGAAATGCAGCCCACCAATATCTACTTATATTAAAAGATTATTATGTTCTTTATATTAAAACAAACAGAAAAACAACCAATCATACTTATGAGACAAAAACTCAACTTTATGGTCACAATCATAAACTACACTATGCTATGTTTGGAGAGGAGTCTACAGGGCTGGGAATAAAAGCAAACCATCCCTACTGTGAAGCAAGGAGTTGGATCGCTGCTGTTATCGGGGTGTATGTAAGCTACAGAAGGAATTTAGTCAAAACTGATAGCAATATGAATGCAGGATATTATCAGAAAAGTTTGGGGGAAAATGCATTCATCACCTCCAAAGCCTTGCATGGGGCGCACTTGGACTTTTCAACATGACAGTGATCTGAAACATAAAGGCCAAGTTGACCCTTCATGGCTGCAGCAGAAATAAGTGAAGGTAGTGGTGTGGCCATCACAATCTCCTGACCTCAACATCATTAGGCCACTTTGAAGAGATCTCAAACATGAAGTTCAGGCTAGACAGGGAAATAATATACAGGACCTGGGGGCTTTTTGCCAAGAAGAATGGGCAGCTTTACCACATGACAAAATAAAGGACTTCAGTCACAATTATTACTCAAAAACTGCAAGCCATCATTGATTCTAAAGAGGGCAATACACAATATTAAGAACCAAAGGTATGCAAACTTGACTTTATTCTTCTCCTTCATTGCAAAGGTTTGTTTAATTCTTTTGCTATTCTGTGATACTAAAAAGTTCATTTGAACCATATTACAAATAAAAAATGTGTTTGGCCCGATCACTTGTGTTTTCTTAAAAAATGGTCTACTTGGTAAACATATGAGCTAAACTATATGGAACACTAAATCAAAGTAAATACATCTCTATCAGCTTTGCATATCTGGACACTATCAGGCCGGAGAAGTGAACAATCTAGGACAACATAGCTAAACTGGAAAGTGAGATGAATTGGAGAATTTGTCCAAATCAGCTATGTTGTCCTAGATTGTTGACTTCTCCTGCCTTCTCCAAACTCTTCACCCTTTTGTGAATAGCCCTGTATAAATTTCACAATTTATCTTTGCAAAACTGCTTCAGCTCTGTCCGGTTGCATGGTGATTGTGAGTGAACAGCCTTCTGCAGACACAAATTGTCTATTGGATTAGGATCTGAATTCTGACTTCAACCCTTCCAGGACATTAACATTGCTGTTTTTAAGGCAAAAATATATAAAAGAACAAAGCCAAACTAGTTATTTGGGGACCAGTTAAGCAGACAAGTAAGTAAACACTATTGACTTGTGTACCACAGCTTATTAATCATCTACCAGTACTAAAAGGAGTTCATGGGTGTACGTAGGTCATGTAGCTTATCCATTGGCCATTAATTTTAATGTCCTCCCACTTTCACTGTTTGCACAAAATTCCAGACTTGCTCATCTGGCACAAGTGCTATCCAAAGTCCTTCAGAAATTGTGCTATATGTCACCTTAGCATGCGGACTTCTTATTATTTAAACGTTCTGTTCAGGACGCTAGTTGGAGGTCATCACATCTGCTGCAGATCTCAAGCTATGAAGGCTGCAGGAAAACAATTACCAAAGGTTTATGTGACTAGAAGAATTCCCCCAGATGGGATCAAGATTCTCCGACAATCTGGCAGGTAAGTGAGCATATATAACATGTACATAACAAATTATCCAGCCAGTGTCTGCTTTAATATGCTGTTTCCCTTGGCATTCTCTCATGGATTCTTTAGCTAGAAATCTATGGAGGAATCTGCAGTTTAGTCATGATCTATATTGGTCCATAAAATCATCAATTAATACAGAAACACATTAAAAAAGAATGACGTAATAAGTAAGCATTTAAATCTGCACATTTGTAATAAATACAGCATACATATAGTAAAGTTATGGTCATTTGGTCCACAATGATCCAAACATCATATGTTTCTTGTTTTATGTATTATGCTCATCCACCTCTCATCTGATAATCCATGTACATCCTGTAAAGTATGTACTTCAACAGGTAATTTACATAAATTCCACGGACTTTAACAAACGTAATAACAGAGTCTTAACTTTGCCTGTTCTAAAGAAAATTATGTTTGCTCTACCATGTGCTTTTCCAAACTGACTGCTAAATAGAAGGGTCAGCTTTCATGGTCACCACCTGAGCAACCTCTATGTTGTAATGAGAAAAGGAACAAATTTTGTGTATCTGTGACGTTTTAGAAAGTATCTGAGCAAAAATTAAACACCTTTTGCAGGGAATACCTTTCATTTGACTCCCAGTTTTGTGCAGACTTTGTTAAAAGGAGGGAATGATAATTAAATGAAGCAATATACACATTTTAGAAAATCACATCAGGATGCAGAATGAAATAGAAAGGTAATGTTTAATAATAATTTACAAAAATGGCTTGTGTAGAAAATTGGTAAATGCTTGTTGATATGGTCTACTTCTCGATCTAGCAAGCTGGAACAATATTTATGTACTAAAACAGTGCAGGATTTAGAGAACCTGGATGCTGCAGATAGAAACTGACTTTAGGTACAGGTTCCTGGAGGTGGCTGCTGTGTTGACAGCAGCATTAGGTAGGCTTTGCTCCTTTCAGGTTTAAATGCTAATATAATAATCGATTTTAAGGGTTCAGATACATTGGTGTGCTGGGAAAGGTGGGGGTTTAGCAGGTCAGACTAAGGTCTGGGGTCAGGACATGGAGATCAGTCTTTTTATTTCACTTTGGTATTAAACACTATAGTACCTGGTTCTCCTTTTTAAACCTAAGGTACTGTAATCTCTGTACTAAGCAATTCGATTGACGTGACAGTTTCTGTCAAATACATTATGCTCACAGCACAGTTTACATGAAAAAGAATAAAGGACGTTTCTTGTGCATTGTGGGAGTAAAGCATTTGCTTTCCTGATTCTGACCTGCTCTACAGTAACATTCTGATGATGGGGAGTCACTAGTATATTACTCTTTGTGCCATGGAGTCCTCATGATTAGTAAGCAGTTTGTTTAAAAAATGTTTATTTTTTTTAAACACTTGCAAGTTGCTACTCTGAAGTGTATGTAAACTCTAACCATTAATGTGATATTAAAGTCAAAAGGTTTATTTCAAGTGCTGGTGAAATCACTTACAATGGATGCTGCTTCTTTATGTTTAAAAACAGAATCAGCTGGTCCCCTGAGTACTAGCCCTGATACCTGTTTTAGGGTGGTTCCTTTCCCTTGCAGAGTCACACTTGTGTGTGCTAGTAAGCTGTGTGTGTCTTCACACACACACACAGGCACAGCAAGGCAAGACCCTCTCTTCTCCAAGCTAGTAGATGGACGGTTGCTGGAGACTGCTCTGTCCCTTGTGATCTTATACTGGACAGGAAGTTCAAGAGAGCAGAGCTGAGAAAGATGGAGCCAGCTGATTGGAAACATGATGACGGTGTTTGGGCAAAAATATAAAGAGATACTTTGTTGGGCAATGTATATTTTAGGGATGCACCAATACCGGTTTTTCGGTATCGAGTACGAGTACCGATATTTTTTTTCCGGTACTCGCTTGTACCGAGTATTGATATCGGTGCCGTGTGCCCCAATTATCACGAAGTCAGGTGGCGGATCATGACTCACTGCCCGGCTTCCTGATTGCCTGGGAAGCCCGTGTTTGCTTTTGAAATGAGGTGCCGTCCGGCTTCCTGATTGGCTAGGAAGCTGGCTTCACTTGTTGCTAGGCAGCCTGGCTTCCTGACCAATCAGGAACCCGGGCGGCACGTCATCACCCACCTCCCGGCTTCCTGATTGGCTAGGAAGCCAGCTTCACTTCTTGCTAGGCAGCCTGCCTTCCTGACCAGTCAGGAAGCCAGGAGGTGGGTCATTACATGCCGCCTGGCTTTCTGATTGGTTAGTAAGCAGGTTGCATAGGAACAAGTGAAGCCGGCTTCCTAGCCAATCAGAAAGCCAGGAGGAACCCACTGCCTAGCTTCCTGATTGGAAAGCAAGCCAGCTTCATGCTCTCTCGGCACTGCCGGTCGGAGGGAGATCACCCTCTGACTGGATGCTCCGGTATTGGAGTTAAGTATCGAAACATTTACATTTACGAGTACTCGCCCAAATACTCGGTATCGGCACTAATACTAAATTAGGATCTGAGTGCAATTCTAGCACATTAACAGGTATTTTCCTGTATTTGCTGCATCTTTAAAGAGATAAAACATGGGAAAATATGCATGATGTTTGTTTTTTTAATTCAAGATAATCAGATGTTATGTTAGGGCTAAATAAGAAAAACGTATCTTCCAGTTCATGTACATTTCTCTGTGTTTTATTCCTTTAAAATGCTGTAAAGTAAAAGGAAGATACCTGCTAATCTGCCAGACATCCAGTGAGTTAATAACTTCCTGTTTGGCTGACAGCACTGTGTCTCTACTGCACTGAAATCCCAATGACTCTTTTCTTCACTGCCTGCTGGAGTACCGAACTGCATATGCCCTTCACCCATCTCTCTCCCTATACACATACATACATTAAATTCTTTACCAGCAAACCAATGCTGCTGTCTTGACTCCCAAGAGCCTGACCACACACTGTGGGAATTATACGAGCCTGGTTATGATGTTGCATAGAGTAATACAGTCTGTTTTTCACTTGTTTGCCAACCTCAGACAGGAATCTAACAGAGTTTACAATATGGTAGCTTATTCAAAGAGGCAAAAGTAATTTAATTTCAAGCTAGAGCATTCAGGCATTCAGCTTAACAATTTTTAAATATTGTTTTAATGAAAAGATCAGAAAAATGGTGCAGAGAATATTTACAGCAAGAAATGTTAGAAACCAGATAACATATACGCAAAAATAAAATAACAGCGATAAAATTTTAAAAATACTTATGTAAAGTATGCCTGGTTTCATGCAGAATTAAATTCACTTGCAGAAGTCTAATCTGATGTATCAGAGTCACTGGAAATGGGACTCTCTCAGTATCCTTAGTAATTTCAATGTTAAATGAGAGCTGTCACATGCAACAGCATTTTGTTGTCCGTGGAGAGGGTGTTCTAGATCTAATAACACCCAATAAAAGGGTCTGTGGGGTGTGTCGAAGGGTTTGCAGGTGTATTTTTATTATGCTCACTTTATGCTCCCATATGCATAAAGTGAGCAGCATATGCTCTCTTCCAGCTGATGTCTTCTTCAGGGAAGGCCTTGCATATTTCAGGAGGACAATGCTAAAGAGCATACTGCATCTATGACAACAGCATGGCTGTGTAGTAGAAGAGTCTGAGTGGTAAAATGACTTGTCGTTGGCACTCTAGGTAGCTCCTCTAATTTCGACTAACCCCACCTTCACTCCTGGTTTTAAATACATAGGGAGATGTTGTTTTGTACTTCACAGAAGGTGGCTGGTAAAACTGATAATATTGAATTATATATCAGTTAAAGCACTGGAAGTTACAAGGGAAGTACATTTCTGGCTAAGTAAATAGTTACTACTCTGTACTTGCAGAACATGTACTTAACCTGAAAAAAAAGGAAACTAATGCAGCCACCATGTCTAAGAACTTGTAAGTTGCAAAGTATTACATTTTTGGTCTTGGGTTTAAATATCCTTTAACTCTGTGTCATTTTGCGTTTTGACCATGCCATTGTCCCTGCATCATTAACACAATGATCCATTTGATATGGCATTTTAAGCTGGCCATGCACACTTGGCAATTTGGTGGAGTGATTAAACTTTCTGTCCCATTTTCTGTTGAAATTACAATGCAATCAAAGACATAGAATGGTGGTTTTGATCAACTGCAAGGAGATAGGATTGAGATGGCCCTGATTGAATGCAAAAGAAAATTTCCATTTGAAAAACATTACTGTAATTTATTTTCCTGTTTTCGTTCATTTTTTAATACAACCATTAAATTAATTGTATTGAAGTGGTCAATGTATTGCCCAGCTTCTACTTCACAAACAAATAAGTTCTTGTGGTCAATCTCAATTTATTATATTATTTATAATATTTATGATATAATTATTTATAATATATATTTGAAGTAATGCAATGGACCTATTAATATTGTTCTAGCTATTAAAACACATATTTATTAACAATTAGCTTCTTGAAACAGCAATCTATACTTGAGCGTGAATGATCCACGTATATATAAGTTGTATCAACCGCAAGCGCACAAAGTGCTATGGCTATAAAAAATAAATAAGTCTTCTTATGCTGGGAACATCCACCGCCTAACTGTACAATCTACCTAATGTTTCAGTTGTGAAATTGAGCAGTGGGATTCTGATGATCCAGTTCCACGCGCTGAACTTCTGAAGAAGGTTGCTGGAATCCAGGGCCTTTATTGCCTCTTAACAGAGAAGATTGACAAGGAATTGCTAGATGCTGCAGGTAGGCTTTTTGAGGGTGTTTTACCACTTTCACTCCAATGTAGTCCGATACTCTTTACTCTCGAGTGATTTATAGTAGCATATTGCCCTACTACAATCTCATGAGATTGATCTCTTTGTATGTATCACATTACTTTTAATGCGAGCTGCTACATAGAAGATTTTCTGTAGCATGATTAAGCAATCCATCTACTATGATTGCGCAATGCCACAATTTAATAACACAATAATTCATATAGGAGATTCCTGGGTGATTTTTTTCCATTCAGTGTACACCATGATGTTAATTTCATGAGACTAATCTAACAACTGTCCATTAATCTCCTGAAGCAGCAGTGATTTAAATTTAAGATTTTTCAGTCTCATTTTCCATGTAGCCCTAGGATTTCTCTACCATTGTATCATTTTAAAGTCACACTGAACTTGGGAGTCAAATCTTAAAAATGCATTCAAGTATCCTAACTAGTAACAAAACTGTAACTTATTTGTATATAACTCGGCTGTAGCTCCTCAAACATTGCCCTTCCTGCGGGAGGGTGGCTACTTTTGTTCCCCATGGTCCCTGTGTGTGTTGTAAAGTAGACACTGCTCCAAGCTCTCTCCCATGATGGCCTACAATCTCAAGTGTACTTAGCTAATTTGTATTGAAATTGTAGTCTATCACGGTAGCGAGCTTGGAACTGTGGCTGCTTTACAACACGCACACGGACCGTGGGGAACAAAAGTAGCCACCCTCCAGAAGGAAGGACAGTGTCAGCACAAATTCAGAGATGATTTGAGGAGCTACAGCTGAGTGATACACAAAGAAAGATACATTATTAATGGTTAAGGAATTTAGCTTTAAGATTTAACTCCTGAGTTTAATGTCACTTTAAATCGGGTCAGCCATCACCAAGTTGAGGAAATGTGTTCCATTTTTTCCAGTAGAAAATAATCAGAATCTATTTGTTTCCTTTTTATGGCGGCTTTTTATGAACTAAAATCCAAAATTATGTTGTCGAATAGGAATTAATTTGGTAAATGACGAGCATTTGTATACAGCATTAATACAAAGAAAGCGGATGCAGTTGCATTGGCTGCCAAAACACAGCACAGAGGTTGCTATACTCTAGTATAATGTTCTAACAGTAAAGTGGATGCAGATGGCGATTTATGATAGTGGGACCATGCTACTAAAACTGCCTGTGATCATCTGTGATTGATATACAGTACATCAACAATGGAGTGTAGCATGTAGTAGTGATTTATCACTAATAATAGCAGAGTACTCCAAATTTGTGCAATCGATCACTGCTATTTTGCAATCACTAGCAGTTTAAAGTATTGCGATTGCACTAGTAAAAATTATCCATGTATGCCCAGCCTTACTGTATGTTGCTTGGTTGTAGACTGTTATATGTATTGGCCAGTACTGCATGTCATTTGTCAAGGTGTCTGAGGAACTGATTGTCTCAGATTGCCTGTATAATTTATGACAACCTATCATGTTCTACATAAAAAGGGAAATGTGATTGGTTCCTATTGAAAACTGTCCCATTGTATAATATATTTTACCGTATATACTCGAGTATAAGCCGAGATTTTCAGCCCATTTTTTTGGCTGAAAAGTGCCCCCCTCGGCTTATACTCGAGTCAGCGCCAGCGCGTCTTCTTACTTACCTCGCCGAGCGTCGCGTCACTGCTGCTCCGGTGTGCGGCGCTCCGAGCGGGGTCATCTGGCAGTCTCCGGGTCCTAATTTAGGTGGCCGGAGACTGCCAGATGACCCCGCTCGGAGCGCCGCCCACCGGAGCAGCAGTGACGCGACGCTCGG